AAGTTCATCTGCTCTTCACGATTTAGTATTGCTATTCAAGTTATGGACTTGCTTAACCATTATGCAATTATGCACTAGTATTTTTCCTGGTTTAATTTTCTTCGAGCCAGTGTCATCAGGCACGGTTATAGACGATGCTAGTCCTCCCTGTGAATCAGTTTAGAGGTCTCGTCGCCGAACCCAGCATTAATTAACAAGACACAAAACCAGATACATCAAACATGTTCCAAAAAATACCTGCAATGTGTGTACAAAACAACTTTGTGGTTCTAAATATAGCAAAGTACCACTGTTCGCATTGCTTTTGAGCTAAAAGGAACACATTTTTATCATAAAATTAATCAAAAACGACATATTACAGCAACACAGACGCGTACACGTTGCAACCGAAACCAACCAGGTTGAAGCACCCTAATGGTAGCAAATGTGTCACAGCTCGCTTTCCACCGGTCAGGCAACTACTTGGATGTAAAGATCTCTAACATTGCTACCCTCCAGCGTCCGCATCCTTACGCAATGACTTGTACGTACCCCGGTATTAGCTGTTCCGCCATTGCGCAGTGGTTCCGTCCTTCTCACAAATGGCAAAGCGACTTTCGAAAGAGGGTCTCTTGCGTAAGAATAAAAATAACTATGAGCCATCTACTCTCTGAGGGTGGATGACCAGTGAATCTGTTGAGCACACCACGCAGGCGTGACGCAAAATTCTGAACAAAGCTACGAACATATGTATTATCTCGATCGCTGGCCCTCATGCGAAAGGTGCGCACCCACATGTCCATGGCTATCGACGCCCCAAGAGACGCAGGACACTAGGCACGCGCGACGGGACCACCACCCAGCGGAAGGAAAGGAAACTAAGACCGCAAGCGCTTTGAACGACGAGAACTAGAAAGCGAGCGCTTCCCTCCTCGTGCTTTTTTGCGGTAATTTCCCCGCTATATTTAGCGGGAAAATTTCACTGCTATATATAGGTGGGAAATTGTTCCGCTAAATATTGCGTTGAAATATTTCGACTGAACTTGCCTGGGAATTCGTTTTAATAAGATTGACGGGAAAATTTTTGCGCTAACTTTAGCGGAAAAAATTTCCCGCTACATTTTGCAGAGATCATTTTTCCGCTAATATTGACGGGGAAATTTTTATGCTACATTTAACTGGGAAAGCAGAGTTTTTGTTGACGTGCACAAAAAATCCACGGAACCCAGCCATAAAGAGCTTCGTTCTAAAAAAAGGGCCAAAATTCTATTCGACAACATATTTTACCACAGTTTCTTTCACCTAGAGTGCCGACGCAGCAGATGCGACAAACTTATGGGGTCGATCAGACAGGTTCAAAAATGCACCATCATGGTGTCGTCTTGCTTCTGTACAGTCGGGGACAAAAGTCCCCAGGACGTACGAGCTGCGGCTGAAACGCATTGCTCTGCCATCTGCCTGACGGTCGCCTGGTTTCGAGATGCTACAAAAGCGCATGCGCGTCCTACTCTGCCTGCAAAAATGTGTGTTTTCCCGCTCTACTGTGGCACAGCACCTAACTAGGAATCGGGCACGTGGTGCCCCCTCGGAGATTGCGCTGGCGGCTGACGAGCGTCTGCTACATATTGCGAAACTCGAGATACTGCCTGGGGCATTGCGCCGCATTTTTCCGTGTCAGCGCACCCTGCATTATTACCAGTTCAGCTTATCGCTCATTTGACCTGCCGTGACTTCTTGCTTTATAGGTGGCATGTCAGTAAGCGCAATCTCCGACGCGGTACCAGGCGCCCTATTCCGAGTTAGGCGCCGCTGCGCAGAAGAGCGGGAAAGCGGACATGCTGGCAGGGAGAGTAGAACAGGCATGCGCTTTTCTGTGACCTCAAAACCAAGCGACCGGCCGGCAGATGACAGAGCAATGCGATTCAGTCGCAGCTCGCGTGTCCTGGAGACTTTTGTCTCTGACTGTAGGTACGTGTTCTAACATTGCTGAACCCATCATAAGCAGAAAAGGCCTAGCGACTTGCGCTTCTTACGCTGCTTGATCGACCCCTTTACCTCGTAACGTCGGCTTTGCCTAAATTTAAGTTTAAACAAAGTATAGTGAAACTAACTTGATACGCGAAATTTACTGGCCTGTGCGCCGACAGCTTAAAGGCCGGCTCCCAGATACGGTGGACACTCATATTAGCGGCCAGATGTTTTGGTGGCGCTCTCGTATGGTTCCCTCTCGTGACGTCACCACCTTGCGAACAAAAGTTCGATAGTGTTTTTAATGATCATGGTGGAAGCTTGATATTACAGCGCTCTGATGCCAACACTGCCAACATCGTCAAAATTGAAGTTCTTACATTCCCCTTATTTCCGTCGATGAGAATTCCTTTACCGACGTCATAGTCAGGACTCGACCAATCGTTCACGGCCGACCACAGCGACGCTTTCGATCGCGCACGTCGCAAATAGCGGTCTTCACGTGTCGTCAGCTACTTATCGTCTACCATGATCAACAGTTTTGACGATGCGATACCTATATGGCGAACGCTAATATGAGCTCGCGTTTTATGAAAAAAAAAAAATTGGGTTATGTGTGTGTTTATACAGCCTAGAACTTGGTCTGCCTCACAGGGGAGACGAGTCTCCCAGCTGTAGATGAGAAATTTAGCCAGTGCGGTACAGCCGCTAGCCTGGGGTCTTTAACGTGCATCACGCAGTAGTGACACACGACCGCACGCCGGTCGCGTTTTATGATTGAACACGCGTTTAGCGTAGTGTAAATGGCTGGCCGCTCGCGCACAGTTTCTGGGATTATCTCTTTGTATTAGCGGCGAGATGTTTCGGTGGCGCCCTCTTATGGTTCCCCCTTGTGACGTCATTACCTAGCGAACAACAAGTTCGATGGTGTTTGTAAATAGCATGGTGGAAGCCTGAAATCATTGCGCTCTCAAAGCAACACTGCCAACAACGTCGAAATTAAAGTTCTTTCATTCCTCTTATTTCCGTCGATGGTATACCGTTTCCGACGTCATAGCCAGCTTTTGGGCCAATCGTGGAAGGCCGACCGCAGCGACGCTTTCGGTCGCGCACGTCGCCAATAGACTACTTCCATAAAGCCCTACATGCAACACGGCGCGCGTTGTACTCTGGGAACTAGTTGGCCAGCCAGGGAGGAGGGTGGCATGGTTTCGGTTTCGATTGACTCGTCGACAAAAGATTATACGCAGAGCGTGGACTATTAACGGCCGTTATCTCCTGTTTTCTGGTCCCGAGAGCGTCATTTGTGGTCTCTAAACTAACCTAAATGGCCAGACCTTGTTGCTTTAGACAAGCCCACGACGTATAGTTTGTCTTAACTCATGCTTGTTGTATTTTTCTACTTGAGCCTTTCTGTTAGCGTTCCAATCGAGGTATGTGGACGAGCCAGTGCTGGGAACCTTGACGCTGCGAAGATCGGGGATCTTGCCTATGTAGCAAGATCCCCGAGCCTATGTATCTTGCCTATGTAACAAGCTGTAGCAACCAATAAGTATGCATACATCGAGCTCGCGCCTTTACATTAGTGTTGTTGATCAGGAAGTTTGTTTGTTTCTTGCGTTCATAGACGAAAAATCACTTTTTGCAATTACTGTTTTTCATAATACGCCTGAGTACGCGAGGTAAAACTCGGAGGCGCCATTGAAAAGCTCAATTTTAACACACTTCTAATCTCTTGTCTGTACTGACCCGCAGCACTGCACGAAGTGAGGTCCCCACCCGCTTGCATTCCACTAATGTTCAACATGGCGTATGCGCATAAAGTTATCCTGCAATCATATAGGCACATTCGCACATACATACCATTTTTAGTAAGCAAAGGTCGAGCACTTGTGAGAAAAATGTCGCACCGTTCGCCGGGAGTGCGCCGGATGGGCAAGAATCCCTATGCGGTGCGCCAAACGAACGAAATTATGCAAAGCGCGTTTGACAGTTGTTAATGGCCATTAAATTTGTTATGTATTTGCTTTCTTCCTGCGTGAGTATGTCGAGATAATTTCAGACACACCGTTCAGGCACAGATCTTGGGCGTCAGTAAAAGCTCGTTCAAAAAGGCTTAGCGAGGAGTAGGGGACGCTTGTTAGGGCCTCCGTCGTAGCTAGCCGATCTCAGCGTTTGCAAAAACTGAATCTTCTATCAGCATAAAATTTGAGCGGGAGATATATGATGACATGAGGAAGACATCATAGTAACTTTTGTGCAGTAGCGAGGTCGAATTTATTGCGTTTCCTTAAAAGTTCATGCCTCAACGCTGGGCTCAACTTTGATATTCCTGTGAGAATGCGGCTTGCTTTTTGCCCAATGAAGTAACAAGAAGCCGACGTTTGGCAAACATAATAGGTGAAAGGCTCCAGGTGAACATATTTCAGTTCTAGTTCACTGGTACTAGACGGGATTATTGAAATTGAACTCAAAGATGCACTCGTTGGGTGAGGTGACTAAGCCACGCCTTACTACGTTTGCATACGCACTCATAATATCCGGTGTTTCGGGAACCAAGAAAAGTGCCCCGGTCATCGTTTTGTATCGCTCGAGAATGAGCGTATCGTACGTTCGTGAAAAGTCAGATAATCGAAAACGCAAGCAGCGCGTTCGGTCGCGGCGTGATAGCATGAGATGAAGCTGCTCAATCGAAACCGAAACTGAGCTGCCAACTAGTTCCCAGAGTGCACTGCGTGGTATTTCGCCGCGATGGGGCGCGTCGGTTTTGGAAGAAGTCCATTGAGAGGGATGGCGGATCTATCGTCCTGGAAACCCATGGAGATAGCGGAGACAACCATCTCTGCTGTCTAGGCGCGCTGATGGCAGCCCTCTCCCTCGGCGAAGCTCGAAAGCGCGACAACGGAGTTAATGCGATGCGCTTCTGATCTTTCGGATGCCGAGCGTCCAAACTCTTCGCGGAAGATTTGGTTCTCTAAGCGCGCAGTCCAATGCATACGAGCGAAGTAAGATTTATTTTTATCGTAAAGTATTTGATTCGACTTGAAACTCACTCTGGCCAAGGGTGGCGTACACTTTCGCCCAGACGTCCCTGTCTTCCGCCGTCAGAATGCCCACGCCGACGTCCCTCTCGGGCGACATCTCCACGACTCGGATCAGCTGGGTGAAGATCCTGCTTTCGTCGTGGGGCACTCCTCGGGCACCGTACGCCTTGAAGGTGAACATCTGCGTGGCACACAACTCGCACTCAGCTTTCAGGCGCGAAGGACAAGGTGAAATTATTGGTATCTCATTTCCGTTTGCATGGATCAGTATGGACTTGCGAAATTGAAACTCGGTTTTTACGGCCCGCATTTGTAAACTATGCTTCTCAAAACTGCGAAAATCAGTGTAAATTAACGCTGACAAATAGTACGGGATGCAAATATTTTTTTTTTAACGTGTCGTAGATTGGATAAAAAATAAACCAGATGTAAGGATTTTGCTTTTTTTTGCTCGGAGGTTTATTTGTTAGCAGTAAAATATATAAATAGCATTCTGGTCGTCAATATAACCTATTTTAGCGAATCACACAACTGAGCAGAAATAAAACTAAACGTCTTCCTCGCTGACCAGATTGTTTCACTGAAATAAATACCAACTGCGCTCGCATTGTCATTCATTTGTTTGACCACTATTAGGCATAGGTGGACGTTGGCTAATTGAACCGATTTCGTTTTGGGCTATAGTTATTTTTATATATGTAACGTTCTGTTGTTATTTTTTTTAGCTTGCTTATTTTATCACCACCTATAGAGTCGCTCATTCACACGAGATTTTAGCATTCTGCGGTGCTTAGCTTTATATGCAGGTAAAAAACCCGGGTTTCATTTCTTTTTGCTCACCAAGTAAACTGGTGTACACGCAGAATGCGATACATTTAGCACGGGAAACGCGGCCCTCGGTTTACTTCAAATTTCCATCTGAGCTGTAAGCCAGTGCAGCGTCTTGGGGTTCTCCGGATTCAAAGTTAAACTGGTCTAAAACAGTTGGTAAGAACATTAACTTCTTTATATAGTTAAAATAAGGCCGGAGAAGAGGAGCAGTCTCCGTAGTTTGGTGCTATTATGTTGTGCAGTCTCTGTGGTTATCTTGCGCCGTATTCTCTTTATTTATTTATTTATACTACTGGTCCTTGTTCAGGACCATTGTAGGAATGGTTACACTCTTGAGATTACAAAATAGCCATCAAACAGACAAACCCTCGTGCGCAGGATTACACCGACGTGGTGTGAACTGGTGAAATCGCCAGGCGATACTGCAACCCTACGAGAGAGAATCCTCCGCGGTGGGATAGTGAGCCATGAGGCTATTATCCAATGTTACGCAATTTGGATATTGCGCGTAACTGATGCAAGCGTGCGGCAAGTTCAGTCGACGATGTGGCACCCGAATCGGGTTTCCTGATCCGATGCTCTGAGGAGCCGATCGATTTGAACGCAGAAACGTTCTCTCGGGAGTCGCTGTATGTTGCAGCCTGCATGACCGAAGCAGTCATCTAAATGTCTCGATTGGTGAAATATCTAACTGTGGGCGTCTAACTTATGGCGAATCGCTCTATTCATTTCGAGGTGCTTGAGGAGCGACTTTCGTGGAGCGCTCATCGACCACTGGATGGTTGGGGTCAGTAGAGACGACTTTCGCGCGTTGCTATGGAGGACACTCGACTACAAATCTGGAACTGAATTGCCGAGATTTCGCTCCACTGAAAATTAAAAATGCAACCGGAAGGAGATATCTATGCACCACGTGCCTTCAGCTTCATACCCGTGCTTCGACCCCCGATGCGCCAACAGACTCGGCCACCAATATCCTTCCTTTATTATTCCGTCACCGATCGCCCTGGCGATAAATGTAGTGCAGCATTGACACGGGGATGCTTTCCGGGGAGGGATGTGCGTGACGTCAGTGCTCGGCGGAAGAAGCGGGACTCCCTGCCGGACTCCGGCATTCACACGAACCACGGGGAGCCGAGAGGGCTGTCTGTGCTATCAAACGCTTTTAGCGGTGATATTTTCGATAAAAGGTCTCGGTGCGCACTGCCAAAAGTGTAAAAATGAAGGCGTACATGAGGCGGCGATACGCGATTTAGGCTTCAGTGCTGTTAGATGGTTCAAGATTCTCTGGTGGGCTAGTTGGTACAACATATCATGAAGTATATAGCGCAACACAAAAGAAACAGAAATGCTTCTTGAAGGGCTGGATGCCACAAAAAGAACGTAGAGCCCCAACCAATTGTATGAAGAGCGGCTTCAGGACGACATCGATGAACATCAATAACTCCTTCGGGTGCCTCGGACGAAACACGCAACATCACAAGCCACGGGTGTCGCTATGCCTATGCCACCACCAGTATCCCGCTGAGGAAAATGTATAGAGTTGCCAGAAACTCGAATGAAATACCGCCATTTTTATATAGATCCCACGCCAAGGCGGGGACTGTTTGTGCAGCACGAGCAAAATCTCCCCCGACCCCTGAGATATTGACGTAAGCGCGGCTCTGCGCTAAGTTGTGACGCTGTTATCACTTGACACGCATCCCTGGGTGCCAAGGAAGAAATTTCTTTACCCTGTGATTAAATGGTTTTAGGATATTTTGGATCAGATTAGATTACATAGGTGTAACTGCTGAAGGCAGCAAAAACTATAGCTAGGGCTTTGTCTTCTCCGATTCTCTCCTGTCCTTTGCCCTCACACACCAAACATGCAGCAGTTACACATACGTAATATAATCTGAACCAAAATCTCCTGAAACCATTAAGTGACAGGGGAAGCAAACTAAAACAGTTTGCTTCTCTTTTGCCAGGATGTATAAGGCGAGAGATGGGTGTCCTTTATGATGAATTGATTCACTCCTTAGTGCGTCGAAGTTACCGATTTCAAAAAGCTGAGACAGAAACAGATCTAAGCGCTTAACTTCTTCTTGCGAAAGCGATCGTTAGGCAACAAAAAACATAGGTTTTTGTCACCACCAACTTTTGCAGAATCACGCATATCGGTGAAACGACATTCATGATTATGATATGTAACTTTTAATGAACACAGCATGGTTATTATCTACTTCGTTTTTATTTCGTTTAGTGTGAGATTCAGTACCTATTTTAAAGCCCCTCGCAGCTGCTTGTAGCGGTTTGTAATAATATTTTTAAGTGCGCTGCGCAACATGCATCTCTGTCACATTTGGTGCTACGTGGCTGTCTTAATCTAGTGCCTCTGGAAAGTTACATCCTGCCACCTCGGGCATCCTGTGCACGTTGCATATAATTTCTTATGGATTTCAACCGAAGGAACATCCTTTTTAACTATCACCAGAACCTTTTCCAAAGCGATGATACATATATTGGACTCCTAGATTTGCCTTCACCAACGGCGCATCTTAAAGTTTGCAGAGTGATCATTTTGGTTGGTCTCTAGAGAAATATTTGGCTTATTGCAGGATTAAGACGGCACATTACCTGACATCGATTGCACCCAATGGAAGTTCAGCGCTCACGTACCTGGCCATTGTGTATGGCTACCACGTGTTCCCCAGATTTCTCGAGGGGCGTATTGAACTCCAGTTGATCGCAGGCTATAGCAGGCGTGCGGTAAACACGGAAGATACGCTGGTATTGCGACATGTCCAAAGGAGTTTTTCCGCTGACATCAGGCTGGAGAAGTTGTCTGTGTGGAAATATGATAAATTATAAGGAATCAGATATTGCACATATAAAATATTTTCAAAACCCCATCTACCGACATTGGTAACACGCGCGTCTTGGGCACAAAGCCTGGGATTAGGTCCGAGTTCTTGCTTAACGCTGACGCCGCCACTGCGTACGATGCCTGGCCAGAGTAAGTAACCGAACATTGGCTGACTCGAATTATTTGTGCACCGGCTTCTAGATGGCGCCAACATTTATTAAGTAACAACAAAATAATTATAATTACACTAGATAAAGTTATATAAAGCTGCCTTGTAGTGGACTACTTCACCTTTCAATTAAAAGCTTGAAATCCAGTGCCCCTGCTGCGAGCGCGGCTGCCTGCCTGCAAAGCATATACGCAATTCTATCAGTTTGAGGATTCAGCATGCCCCGGAGAAATTAGGCTATTATAAAAGGTGAAATATACCTGAGATAATCTTTTTTCGAAGGAAATTTTTTTTTCGGAAAACACATTGCCCCTGACGTGTTCGACATGGGAAGCCTAGACTTCAAAAAAATTGCAAGGCAATTTTCTGAAAACTAAAACGTTTTTCAGTCATCAGAGTGCTCAACTGTTAGCATAAAAATGGAAATTTAATTAGGGAAACAATACAGACAAAAGTGGATGTGCTCACCCAGTTTGGATTGCGAGAAGCTCGCTCTACAACTAGCTTGTGCAGAATTTCTCCGTCGCCACCGGGCTTTCCAAAGTCCTGAGCAACCTACCAACAGTGTTACAAGTGTAAGATTGCGTTCTGTACAAAATCTATTCGTTTCAGCAAAAAGACACGGGCGCCCGCTTTTATCTCATGGAGGTTTTACATTCGTATTGCTGAAAAAAAAAGAATAAGGGGTGACACCGAAGGGGCATGTCCTTTTTTATTCTCGTGGAATAGTTTAGCAGGAGGACCCCCCCCCCCCCCTTGCGGTTTACTATAGAAAATATATTCTGAGGGCATCAGCGAACCCACGCCAAGATGGATCGAAGAAGCTGGTCGTGACATCTTGTTTGCTTCCCAGTTCAGCGAAATCAGCCATCAACCAAGGACATGCCGTACTTCAAATCATACGCTTCGATCAGTTCATTTGAAAGATGTTGCATCCCGTAATGACTTCAACTACGATGACTATGGCGAAACCTTTCGAGAGAGCGTCTGAAGCACAAAGTAGAAATGTCTGGAGTCAATTAGGGCTTTGTTTGCGGCCCGCGATAGCCACCTGCGACTCTCACGGGAAGCTCTCGTGTACAATTTTATAAATCGTTGAGCACCCCTTCTGCACCAGCCTAAGAAAGGTAGACTGCATGTATTGCATAGGTGTACCACAAGGGCTCTCCTCGCAGGACATTCTTTTTGCTGTGCACGGCATTAGCTGGGCAGAAGTTGTGTTTTTAGAGCGCAGCTCTTGGGCGCCCGTTTCCGGCTTGAGCGGCGTCGCCGTCGGCGTCGGCGTAGGCGTCGGCGTAGGCGTCGGCGTAACCGCGCAGTGCATTATGTGTAAATTTCCCCTCTAAATTTAGCGGAAAAATTTCCCGCTAAATCTAGCGGAAAAATTTACCCGCCAATCTATAGCGGAAAATTTTCCCTGTTAAATCTAGCGGAAAAATTTCCCCGCTAAATTTATAGCGAAAAAATTCTCTGGAACCAGTCTTGTACACGTTACTAAAAAAAAGTAATCGATTACAATTACTATTACTTTTGGCTAAAAAGTATTCGATTAGATTACTTGATCACTCGACGGCAAAAGTAATTGGACATTACTTAGAGAAGTAATCGTTACTTTTCCGATTACTTTATTGTGTGAAAACACATCTTTAGCGCACGTAACAATGAACTACTTCCAACCTATATTTCACATTTGCATGAGTATTGAAGAAAAACTGGCTCCCTCTTCGTGGTCGTTGCACCTTCACAATGCGGACACAAGCATAGAATTCGTTTGAAGACGTTTAATGATTTGGGCGTTCGCCAGTGTGTGTGTGTGTGGCGGGGGGGGAGCGGAGGGGTTCTAGATCTTGTTAAGTTTGTGCATGGGTTGTCGCTCAAAGTTTGCGTCGCTCATTTTATTATTCACATGTGGATGAGCTCGCAAGTTATACAAAAGAGCAGCAGCTCCAGGATTTGAAACGAATCATGTGTAGTATTCATTAGCGGAAGAGATCGCCCCGACCACTTCTCAACTCGAAACCTTGCTTGTCACAAAGACCACGTAGGGGAAATGGGGAAATATTTCAACTGCCTTTGTTATATTTTGCATCCGCTTTAGGTATTCTTCGGTTCTGGTTCTCCTACGGGCTGCGAGTAGGTACCCTAAGCACGATTTTTTTTTATTCTTTTTTATGTGTGTGTGTGCGTGAGGGGGCTAGTTTGAACGAAGGACTCACAAAGCTACATTCTGTTTCCTCAAACTTCGCCCTGAATGGCCATTGTCACGCACTGTGGCTTCCCTGGGGCATCCCACTCCCAGTGCCAGCTCGAAAAAAAAAACAAAAAAAAACGGTCATTTTACAGAATTTGTACATAGAAAGAGATTGACCTCGTTTCCTACAGCTCTGCAAAAATCTTTCTTTTTTCCGTTCAAAAAAAAAAAAAAAAAGCTAACTTTATTTTTGTCATTTCATAAAAAAAAAAGGCGTGTGCCGGCCCGGGGGGGGGGGGGGGGGGGGGGTTCCCGTGGACAAATTGTAACGGTTACAAGTAAGTTTATTACTTCATAAAGTAATCAGAGTACTCTTGTGATTACTGCCTAATAAAAGTAATCAACTGATTACAAAATTACTCCAAAAAGTAATCGATTACAAGTAACTTGATTACTTGTAATGCGTACGGTACAAGTCTGTCTGGAACTCACGTGATCCCCCCCCCCCCCCCCCCCCCCGAGAACATGTGGCCGTGAGTACCCTTCCCTCCTCCACCTCAAGGTCTGCGCGCCAATTCCGCGTTACAGGGAGTTGTAAACGGCTTTCATTTTTTTATGATTCTCTTCCGGTCCGCTTTGGGGCCGTTTTTACAAAGGGGAAAATCACCCTCCATTAGCCTTGTTGCACAAAACGTTGGAGCGTGCTCATGACGGAGAGCAGGCCGTTTCTACTCGCATGGCCTTCTGGCTCATCAAGGCTTCCATTGTTGTTGTCAGTACCCGGCCTCCCGAAAAGAAGAAAGGCGAGGAGACGAGACAGAGAAAGCGAGAAGAAAAGCCGTATTACGCCGTACTGTTTTAAAGCCAGTTTATGTTGATTCACGAGGCACGTGAACGGGCAGCCCTTGGGAAGATCATGGCGGTACAGCGTAGCACTGACAAAGTGTAGCACTGAGCTAGATTTCAGACGCCATGTTCTTCGCAGAAGTGGAGCGCGGCTCGTGTCTCGAGCATTTTCACAACAATGAATGGCGCCACTTTTCTCAGGATAGAAGGGCTTTAGGTCAGTCTGTTTGAGTGGTTGATGTCCTCGGTGAAAACGAACACGCGCACCGAAACGTTCGCTTTCTTTTGTAGCGTGAGCTACACTGGCCGAGGTTGAGCAGTTTCGCTTGGCTCGCATAATGGGCCGTGCTCCGTGCTGCGCGAGCACAAGGAGCAGTGACGTCACACGGCGCACATCTGCCGGAGGTGGAGCTGTCGTCGCCGCCAGCGGGCTCCGCCGCCACCGCGTGCGCCTCACCGGCGTGCGCAAGCGCGAGGAGCAGTGACGTCACACGGCGCACAGCTGGCGTGCCGGATCTAGAGCACTATATTAGCGATGTGCGCGGCCAAAAGCGTCGCTGTGGTCAGCTTCCCACGATTGGCCAAACCTCGGGCATATCAGCACTGTAAGATTGTCAACTTTCACGGTGTTAGTTTTGGATTGCGATGGCGCCTAGCTTCTACTGTGCTTTTTAAACACACCATTGAACTCGTCGTCGCCCCCAACGGCAAGTAGCCAGCATAACAACTGGTGACGTCACGGCGAGGCAAATCCCAGTCGTGAAGTCACGGAGGGAAAGCATAAGAGGGCGCCACCGAAACATCTCGGCGCTAATAGCTCCTTCGGAGCAGAGTAGCGTAGAGTGCCTTCATACACACGCGCGCTTTTGCTTGAGTGGTGACATCTCGGCCATTTTCCCGCCCAATCGTTCTTTCTATGCATTTTGAAGTGCGCGCAATCCGGTGTCACTCAGCACGAGCGCGTAGCTTTGGCTAATGCATAGACGCCATTTTACCGCCCAAGTCACGCACCAAGTGCGCGAGAGCGTCACGCGCTGGTACATTCAGGGTAACAATGGATGTCTTCACCCTGAGACAGACAGACATGTAGGCACCCTAGAGTAGCGCAATCGAGAACGCCATCTCTCGGGACTAGCGGTAAACGCCCGGGGGTTCCAACTCCGACCAGAAATGCATGGGGAACGTGAGAAAATCATTGTTTCTTCAATATTGGGGGGATGTACGGAATGTCAATAGTTTTTGACATAATGAAGGAACCTTTTAAAATAATTTGCGCAAAGTTGAGAGCCATGTAAGGACGTAACTTGTTTTAAAAAATTGCCTGAACGGCATCATGCTGCAGGCGACGCGGCGACGTCACAGCGACATCGCAGCGTCCACGTGACCCGCTCCGGCCAACCCAGAAAGTTCCTCTCCGCTGCGCACACAAATCGTCTGCTTCAAACGCCATTGCCTTGAAAATTGCCTTCTCGCAATTTTCACACGCTTCCAACATTATTAAAACTTTGATCTAGTGTTTTGTGCTTTATCAACTTCACGATAGACTAGTTTCGAAAAGTGTGAACTCGGCGTTTATTTTTTAATCAGCCGTGTTGTGTCTATCTCCATGTATTCTCCCATAGAGCGGGCCGCCTCTTGGAACCCTGAGTACCACGTGACTCGCGCCGAGGTGCTCTGTCGGCCATGTTGTCGGCGAAACACGCGGATCAAAGGATTGCGCTACTCTGCTCCGTAGGAGCTATATAGTGCTCTAGCCGGATCCGCCTTGATCCGCCGCCGCCGCGGGCTCCGTCGAGACCGCGCTCGCCTCGGTGGTTTTCGCATTCCAGAGGAGTGACATCATAGCCGCGGCAGACGCACTGGCGCCGCCGCGTGCCCAGCTGTGTGCCTCCGTTGCGCAGTAGCCAAGTCTGACGCTGCACCGGAGCTGCTTGATAGCGCCTCTGGGAAGCCCATAAAGGGATACTAAAATAAAAAAAAAATTAAGAAACTATATATTATACAATATATTTTAATGGTTTCCAAGGGGCAGACAAAAAAGAAATGCCATGAAAAAAATAGACTGATATTAAGACGCTAGGCGCAATTTAGATGGAGTTCCCCACCCAATGGAGGCCATGCGCACAAACGGTGGCCCCGCACATTACTAATGGGTTGGCTTGGCTTCTCGGCTGAACACGTTCGCAACTCTAATGCCCTGTCGCGACGTCCGGTGCGTCCAGCCTGCCGTCTCGCAAGGTTTGCTCGTCGTGTGGGCGGACGCGCAGTAGCGTACTGCGTCACCTTCTACTATAACCTACCACCTGGAACGCCCGTAAAAACTGGCCATGAATGCGGTGCGCGCGCGTCTGCCATCGCCTGCATTCCCCTGCTGTTCCACCTCACAATGACACCGGTAGGTTTTGGGGAACTTGTGAAGAGACTTTCCTCAACCCTATGACACGCTCGCAGTCCATAACTATGAAACGGAGTTCTAGGGATCTATCATACACGCGCCAAGGTTTAATAAA